TACCTTAATCAGACATTCGTGTTACTGTTTTTCGTCGTTGGTTTTTTTTACAAGATGTTATGTTTGGCATGCGCAGTATTTCTATTTATGTGAGTTCACTTACTGTATCACAGTCGGGTTGTATCACTAATATAACAGAATTAGCAACACCACCTGTCGCAGCTTTTTATGTTACAGTTGGAATACGTTCGACATGTGAAGATGTACTTTTTTCAGGTCATACAGTGGCATGTAAGAATTTATTTCTAGGAAATTCAACGTCAAGTGAATCTATTTTGTTTTTTTCTATTCAAGTAGGGTGTGGGTTGAATTCAAAAAAGATCTACATCCACATCCCATGGATGAATACTGTCTTATCTTACCTTGGTATTTCTTAAAGAAGAACTATGCGAAAGATGTATTTCGTGATCATGTGAGACTGCCTAGATGATGAGGAGAGTGACTACAGATCATTCTCTTTGTTTGCAATATCAACAAGAGAGAGAGAGAACTAATAGATAACAACATCATAAAGAATAGAGAAACCAAAAGAAGTTACACTCAGCAGGGATATGAGTGTATGCAAACCAATCGAAAACAGATTCATTTATTTTTTTCACGAAAAGACAAGTTCAATTCTCTAATCTCAGCTTTTGATTTTCAGTGGTTCACTAAATCGAAAATTTAATAATCATAGAATGATAAATGCGTATGTTTTGCTGAAAAAATCAAGCAAATACAGAGTTCAATTCCATGACGTATTTTGTATTATTTATTAAAATACAAGTATACATTAGGACGTCACATTATAAGATTAAACACAAACAATGAAAATATTTTCTCATAGGAAAACAAAGACAGAAACAAAAAGGAAGATAAATCATTTACATAGCAGTAGCAGCAGAAAGAAAGCAAAAACAGCATTCATCTCGAAACAGCTTGTTCGGTAGACAATTGAATCAACTAGCTTTTATCAGTTGAATAATATTTTATAGATATGGCTTTTTTCCAGCAGTGTCACATATCCAAGATTTTGGAGATGCCACCACGTCTCTCGCGGGAGATGCCGCATCTCGCGCGAGAGATGCGGGTGTGGGTGTGGGGGATGCGCATCTCTAAAGGAGATCTTACATCTCCAGTGGTGAATGACCACATCTCTCGAGTGTGGGTGTCGCGTCTCCCGCTGAAGACGCGGCATCTCCCACGGGAGATGTGGTGGCATCTCCCACGGGAGATGTGGTGGCATCTCCAAAATCTTGGATATGTGACACTACTCGTCGATTTTTATCGATCTGGAAATATTATTACACCGAACCGATCTAAAATTTCTTGACTGGTTACAACTCTGCTACACTCACACCCAATGAAAAAAATTTAGTGGAAGCTCTTTATCTTTATCATCTTCAAAAATTTTTTGCTTTTTAATTGTCGTATATACAACTTATTGTTTTAGATTATTTATGTTCAATACTTATATCGGCTTCGTGATTTGGATTGTCAATTACTTCTGGTTCGGATAAACACGATCCTGTTAAAAAGTTTGTTAATCTACTTGTATTTTTATATTTCCATGAAAAATATGATTAAAAAGAATTTTATTATTCATAGTCCTTCATTCAATGGACACTTGAATGTACTAAGAAACTTAATTCTGAAATATGAGAATCAATTTGATTTTCATCTTATTATTACTGGCTGGAAAAATACTCAACCAGATTTAATATTCCATCTAGTATTGTTGCATGCTCTGATTTTCATGAAACTGATCCTGAAATTTGGACATTACTACGACTTGTTGAATTAATAGATGGCTGTCAAGATATAGCCAAAACATTTAAACCAAGTTTTAATAATTTATGATTTTTTTTCATTAGAAGGAAACTTGGCAGGGAAAAAATTGAAAATTCCTTATTATTTTTCTATTCCAATTTTAATTGATCCATTTACACACCAAGAATATCTTAAGAGAAAATTACAATTACCAATCAAGATTAAAGCTATGAGTTTTTTACAAGAAAGATTTCCAGAAATTTTAAATACAGAAGATATTGAAATGATTTCTGATGGACTACATATTAGAAAGGACAGCAAAATATTCATCACTCACTTCAAAAGACTTTATGCTTAATCGTAAAAAATCGCCGTATATATTTTCGTGCGTCATTTACATAGAGCGCAAACCAATACTAATTCTAAGGATTCAAAAAAGCCACTCATTTATTTTTCACTCGGTACTGCTGTAATGAGTAATCTCTGAAATCAACAAGTTGAGGTTCGGAAATAATTAAAAAATATTTATTCATACACTAACTAAATTATGGGAAGATAAAAATTCTAATATTCTCTTTGTTAATCTTGCAAAAGAAACTGTCAATCAATATCCTTCAAATTGGCAAGTAGTATGAATAGGCTGATCAAGTTGATTGTCCTGTCACAAGCTTCTGTGTTTATTACTCATGTTGGAGATAATAGTTTTCACGAAGCCGTTATTGCACA